AGCTGACGACGTCTTCAGCACAAGCCGCGCTTGCCAGGATGGAGAGGATAGCAATGGATTGACGCATGGTGGGTTGGGTGGGTCTCGTAAAAAACAAGGATTAGATTAGGGTATAACGGTCGGAGTTGCGCAAGTACAAAGAATGACTGGATTGGGTATAAATGAGTGTGTGGTCGCAAAAACGACTGACGATACGAGGAGCTGAGGCTTGACGGCGTGCAGACGCCTGTACGAGGAGGCGCATTGCTACTTAATATTTTCCCCTGACCTTGGTAACAAGGCTTGTTCGGCTAGTTGCCGCAGACAGGCTGAATGCTAGTGTCGATCTGCGTTAGCCGTGTGGGTTATCTCGTGGGAAATTGGACAATGCCATCCAGCGGAGCTATCCAGCCAATTAATTTTGCAAACGTTGCAGGCATAGGGTGCGTTGTCATGCTCATAGTGCCGGTAGATGAATTTGACAAGAGCTTGACATGGTTCCCAGATGTTGTTCACCGGTTCCCACGCGCGAAGATCGCGGATCCAGAGCAAGGGATTGTTCGTTCCAGTTTGTTTCTAAAGGCAGAGTCTTCTACCGATTCGATGTACGCTTAGGAGGCAGCGATCCCTTTGGCGCGAGCGTTATCGATTTTCGGATGCAAGTGAGCGATATTGTAATTCTCCTCGGCCGTAAAAGCTGCTGCACGATTCGAGGAGCAGGTCATCTGGCGATGCGCCGCGCCGTGGCGAAGCGCATAGCCTTCGAGAATTTCATGGCACCGGCAGAAACTGAGACGTTATTCTCGCCGGCCGAGGCTTGGGGAATGCCAGTTTCAGGCCGCGACCTTCGGACAAACGTGCGGATTGCCGATCATCGGCATTTTCAGACTTTGCCGCATGGTGAAGAGCGTTTTGTCACCCCCTGGGCATGTTGGACAAGGGCAGGTTGGTGGAAGGGAGAGGCGTGTGATGATCGTTGTGCGGAGAACTGCAGGAACAACCGGCAGCTGCCCCACTTGGCAAATCACCGTAAGGTCCGATAAGAGCAGCACTGCGCGCGTGCAATAACACCAGCCTGGGCAAAGTCATCCCTTTGAGTCTTCTGCGCCATCTTGCGACATACGCACAATTCGTATCAAACTGAGATTGCGGCTAGTTGTACTATCAGCGACCAGAGGTTGGCCAGCGTAGTGAACCCCGCACTGCCAAACTCGCCTTAGCATGAGATGGCATCTCCCTCAATCGCGTCGCAAACGACTAACGGTATCCTCATCCTATGGGGATCTGTTGACTCTGCCACAATTGATCCAGATGCGCTGAACGATTGGTGGACCAACGAGCACCTGCCCGAGCGTGTATGCCTCCCGGGCTTCCAACGCGCGCGCCGTTACCGCGCCCAAAAACCCAGCGATGGCCTGGATAATTATCTAGCCTTGTACGAGACTTCACGCGTCCAAGATCTCGCATCTACCGAGTACCTGCACGCGCTCAACCACCCGACGAAGAGGACAGTTCAGTTCATGCCATGTCTGGCGCAGATGAGCCGCTTCGCGTGCGAGAGGATCTGGTCGAAACCCTCATCGATCTCGAAACCCGATCATGCGACCAGCGACAACGGGTGGCTTTTGATGCTGGTGTTTGAGGTCGCTAATGCTACCGATGATCCAATATCCCGTATTGATGACTGCCTCAGGCGCAAAGAGCATGGCGTGTTAGCGGAAACAACGCATACCCAGATCGCAAAAGTAAATGCAGATATTACAAGAGTAGGAACGACCAGCAAGTCTTACGACGATGTCCAATTCAACGCCTTGAGTGATAACGATGGCACACAGCCGGCTGACACCTTCATTGCATTATTCGAGTTTGAGCGCAGTGCTGACGGCCCAGGGCCTATCCGGTTTGCAGACAGCGAATGGCTTATATCTCTCACCACTATCTTGACAGCCGCCGGGCTACATATTCAATACCTCAACACCTACACGCTCTTAGCCTCGCTCGCCAAAAGCCAGATCGCGTGCTGACAGCTTGACACGACGTCCGCCTACGCCAGGCTGGCCGCCTAAACTACGCGACACGCTTGCGGTATCGCGCGCCCCAGTTCCAGGCACCCAGCCCAATCGCGCACCACCTCCCCACCAGGGCGCGCGAATTTGAGTATAGAAAGATGCCATATTTGGGACTCGAGGTCTGTGGCTGGCAGGGGTATGCATCCCGTTGTTCCTGAGGCGCAACCGGTGAAGCTGCCAGCCCCACGATAAAGAACGCTGCGAGGCCCGCATCGTGTGCTTACATCTGCGTCCTCACATCTCTTACCACCACGAAAGTAACGGCGTACCTTCCACCAAGATGCCGTCCATAAATCTACCCACGAGCTTCGGGCCCTTCTCCGCCCTCCCTCGCGATGCTTCTCCCCGCTTGCGCATCATCCAAAACTGCCAAATGGGCATCGCACTCCTCGCCGTGGTCGCCGCCTTCTTCACCCTCGTCATCCCATCGGACCGCAAGTTCTTTACTTTGAGCCTCCTCTACACGCCCCTCCTGACCTCCATCACTACCGTCTACCTCGTCCGCCGAGAACAGAGGCGCGCCGTCGCTGGTACCCTCTCCAAGCAGCGGTATATCAAGTACCAGTGCTTCAAGATGGCGGCTGCGATTGGCATGTCGATCATAGGCTTCATCGGACATATCGCTAGTACACCGGCGAAGGGAGATGCACACTTTGCTGGAGAGCGTGGGCTGTGGATTAGCGGAGTCAAGATCAACACATGGCAGGGACTGTTGCTTTGGTTGAACTTCTTCAACTGGTAGGTCATCACTTTCCGATACCACAAGGGACTGTACTGATCAGATTGCGTACTTAGGGTCTTCCTGTGGGCTAGCTTGTTCTACTCTTGCTGCATGACTGGTAGACAGCAGGGCTCCATTGCTCTCACTGGCGAGGAGGCACGCATTGGCATCAACCCTGAGGAGGCTGACGACGAGGCTATTGCTCGTGCCCTTCAGGCTGAGGACCCCAACTGGCAGGGATAGACTGCTCTAATGAAACCATATCCGAGTCGTTTTGTGGGCGACAAGAGATAGCGATGTCGTTCCCCAATCATATCGCATGATGGATGTAATCAGGATTAGTCGCTTTGCCATCTTCACTTCGGTAGCCTGCACTATGGCTCTGAATAGAATATGACAGTTTGGAGAGTTCAATCAGATTGCTGAAAGCTAGTACAGTATCGCAAACACGCTCCTTAAATCAGCTGTTAATGAATATGGATTCTACCTCTACGTATCATTACTATCTACTCCCTCCTCTCCATACCAAGTGACCACATCCACCTCACCCCTACAGCACCAAAGCAGCCCACCCAAGAACCCCAGCAACAACAACCGGCACCCCGACCGTCCCAGCAGCATCCGTAAACCCCGGCAGACCCGAAGCACTCGACGTGGACGAAGTCGGTTCAATAATAGCGGTCGCCGTCGTCGTATCACTAGCACTAGGAGCAGGAGCATACGGAGGCGCAGCACTGCTCTCCTCACCATCAGAAGCGACACTGCTCGGGGCGGGCACGAAATCCGTGGCCGTAGCGGTTGATGGCTGGGGCGCAAGCCAAGTAGTGAGTTCTATGAGGCCGGTCTCACTCGTCGAAGGTGCTGACTGAGAAGGCATGGAGGAGCTCATATCGACGGTGCCCGTCACGCTAGCGAGGCTGGAAGGGATTTGTGTGATGACTGAGACGGTACGCGTAGTCGTGATTGTGGTGAGGGCCGTGGAGCACGAGTCGTCGGAGCTGATGTCGGTAGGCTCTACCGGCGGTGGGACCGCAGGGTAGGACTCTATGTGCACTGAGTCGGGGACGGGAACGGAATCTGAGGTTATCAGTTTCTGGGGTTGAAATGGTTGGATGGAAGGGATGTACATACATAGATCTGAATCTGACCTCTTCTTCTCAATGCGAGCTTCGCCCCGAATGCCTTCTGCTGCGGCAAAGCCGAGGGCCATGAAAGCGACGAAAGACAAATTGTACTTCATGTTGCGATTCGGTGGGTTCGATGTACGGAACGTTGGTGAAGTTGCTCGATTGAGAAGTCACACGTTCAGGTGGGTTTAGGTGCGTATGAAGAAGTATCAGCAGCCGGCACGGTGGGGTGATGCTGGTTCTTATATTTGGCTACCAAACATTACATTGATTCGTCCTCTCGTGATACCTATGTGCCGCGTATTTCTTACCGGGCAACATCATGACACAGAGTACCAAGCGGGAAGACAATCTCTTTCAGTCAATAGTCTTCGGTTGTCGGCTAGGTATACCACGCGCATGTTTCCTCTCGCGGCATGTTTGTTTCACAGCCGTAAGTACCCATAGCGCTTGTACGAGCGAGTCTGACCAATGGATTTGTTCTTGATTAGCAGCCAAATGAAAGAACAGTTTAGATCAGGGGTATTGCAGCACGTATGCGTTGTTGCACTTCATCCCAATAGTTTGTGTGAAATCTTCCCAAGGACACACGGTCAAGCAGCCGCCCGTGACACGTTTTGTATGTCGTAGAAGCAACCCCAAATACTATCGGAACAGCCCTGGCCCGAACAGTGTGTCGTTCAATCAGTAACATGTCTGATCTCCGGTTCTTGTGCGGCATTACTCTCGCATCTGCAAACTCATGCGGAGGATTGATAAGTGTATGCGCCACTTTCTTATACCGTTGGAGATGGAAATCGTGCGCTCAAGCGACACGAAGACGCTGTGTGACATGAGAAGCCTGCATGCAGCCTCGTACCTCTTACATGACGATCAAGGGGCGTATGTAATGGCGATTTGTTGAGGCGATGCGATTTGCTTCAAACTAAGCAGCATCACTGGTCCCACCACGCATCCCTCTGGTAGGTCAATGGTCCCGGTTCGCGTTGAGCTGGCTCGTTGCAATTCGTAGTCGGCAACAAGACATAGAACTAGCGTCAGGAGGATTTTACCCCTGGTCTGAGTAGTTGCTAGGTGATGAATGTAGCGAGTCGCGCGAATAGTTCAGCCCACTTCCGACATGTTTGCTCGAGTAGGAAGATGTACTGCCGCCGGCATGGGGATGCTTGGTCCTCCATCCAGACTTCTGGCCCTCCTCGGCACCTTGCTCTCCTGACGACAGTTCTCTTGGTGGGTTCTCGTATTGTTCTTCGCTTCAGAGCTGAGATCATCGCTGCCAATCATATCAGGCTCCTTCTCCGTCCTAGGTTTCCAAGACGGCAGTTCGTAATCAGGCACGGATGTGCTACCTGTAGAGGAATCTCCCGGTTTTCTCATGCGGACGTCTTCTTGCGAGAACGAGATATGGTCGCTGCCGAACAAACCGCGAATGAGCGAACGTCGTTGCTGTGGTACTTCCGCAAACATATTGACATTGAACATGTCTTCACCGGGCGAAGACGAGAAAGTCAAGAGTCGTGAAGGATCATTACCAGGGTTCGGGCTGCCTAGGGCTATGGTCTTGATGAGGTGAGCCATAGACATTTCTATATTGAGCTTGACGAGGTATGCAAGAGGATGGAACATAGCGTAGCTGTAAAAGTTAGTCGCGTTGAGCGAGGGTGCACTTGAGCAAGCCAAACTCACACAAATCCATTAGGGATGCTCATCGCGCCAATGATCAAGACGTCCAACAGGAGAGAGACGACAATGATGCGCTTGTTGAAACGAACCAGGCGATTGTACTTGCTTAGGCCGTTCTTAACCAGATCCGCATTGACGACGCGGATGAAGTACCAATTGAGGTATCCATCGAGGAGAAGAAATAATACTTTCTCTGTGCGATCCCAAATAGCGTTAATTCGAACCCAACTGCGTCCGTTAGTGGGAGTACTCGTGAAAAATGGATTGCAGGCGTACTTTGAGCTTATTTGCAGCCGCGCAGGTATCCAGATGATGAACACGCTGATATTGATCAAGGTCACATAGATCGCGGCACCTGCGACAAGGCGCCGGCCTTTGACTCGATCCCCAAGGATGATACGAATGCGATTGATAATAATTTGAGGCAGTAACTGAATCTGAAAAACCCAGCAAAGCACTGCTGATGTCAGCCAAGTACAGATGCCAAGGCTACGGTATACTTGCGGACTGAGAAGAAGAAGTAAAAGCTAGGTTCTATAATCCTCAACAGATACAACAGGCAATCGATGGCAAGAGCTACCGAAGCCGCGATTTCCAGCCAAACCATCCAGATGTAGACACTGGTCCTCGGGCGCCGACATGCTTTCGTCTGCCTAATAGCGATGAAGGCTGCGGTTATGGCGAAGAAGTTGGTCAGACCGAACGCTGCAGCCGCTACAGCTATGTCTGCGCGAGTCACACGTATAGGGCGGTAGTTGTCGCGAACAAACGGACCCCAAGCACCGAAATCTTGGGGTGGAGCGATCTCTTCGCCCATGGGGAGTCCTAGGAGGCATTCGTTGCGGATGGCGTGGGATGCATAGCGAGATATGAGGTAGAGCCTACCAAGGCTATTAAGAAAATTTCGTTGTTTGAAGCGGCCCGTGGCTTGCACTATTGGGGGATCGCGGAGCCGATGGCGCTACCCCACAAAGTTCAGGATGTAAAGATCCGGTAACGACGAGGGACCATCGACGCGCGTGCATGATAGGCGTTCCATCGGAATGACACCTGAGCTCTGCACATCACGATACACCTCGATGCGAACACTTCTTACAACGGAATTGGATCGCTTGAGATGCCTCGAGCAGAACAACGGTCTACAATGACGTCGATCGTATCTTGGATGGCTGTCGGGATCTTGGGCCGCATATGCTGATTGGGCGAGTTGCGAATGAGATGTGATGGTGGCTTCGGTTTGCTTCTCCTCAACAGCAGCCAACATTGTCTATGCTGCAAGCTGAGTGCTGATCGCGATCATTATGACCCTCTGGTCACCGCGTGGTTTAGGGTAGCGGATCTCGGTGGTTTTCAGTGGTAGTGCCTCCGGCCGAGCGCACTTGCCATATTTCTAGGTTCATCGTCATTACGTGAGAAAGACGTTGCCGTACATCACGGTATCGGAAAATTGTAAAGGCAGATAGCTCTGACTGCGTTTTCGCTGGTAGTTGTGAGATGGGTGAATATACGACAAAATTGCCCGAGGCTGTGCTGATGGATTTGGCGGTGACTGATGCGAGGGGGTTGTGACGTATGAAGATCGGCGCCGCTCACTTAGCTCGTCTTACATAATCACCCAAATGGGCTGACAGGGCTCCGCTCGATTCCGTCGACAGATATCCCCACACTATACATAGATCTCGCTCAAACAATGGCGCAACGTAGCGCAGGAGATTTCGACCCGGAGGACACGATGGGGACATCTGCTGATACGCTAGTACGACTTGGCACGCAGAATGAGAAGGCGTCAACTGAAGCTACACCAGGCCGAGTACAAAAGATTCACTAACACACTGTCGATTTTGGTGATGACTTCATGAACGAACTATTGAAAACTGGAGTTTGGATGCTTTCCCTTCCTGGACCCTGCTACATGAATCAAGATCTCATCAGTGCTCTCATTACGTGGCTCGTTTGCTTCTGGATCATCGACACCTTCAAAACCTCCTCCATGTGCCCCGCTTGCTATATTCACCGAAACCTGAACCAACGGTCTCCGAAGGCGCGGTACATAAGGTGGCCCTGAATCATAGGCGAGTTATTGAACACATCCAACCAATCGCAAATCTGTTCCATAGTCGGACCCTCGGATAGCACATGGTACAAAATCTGATCCCGAATCTCAGCTGGTATGGATTCGAGGGTCAGACGCCGGACATGATCGCTCTGGCTCCCATTCTGGCTTCTCTGGGAGTGTTGGCGTTCGAAAATCGGTTTATTAGAACAGTGTATTTCCTGCGCCCTGAAGTCAACCCGAGGGAAGACTCCGCTTGATGCGACTCCTGACTGCAGGGCCTGGAGTTGAAGTGCTTGACCTAAGGAGAGAAATTGATCTACTGTAAGATCGCGAGCTGGGTAGGATAGTCTCAGAGTGTAGAACCGCGTCATTTCCATGAAGTCTGGTGGTGCTCGTACATCGTAAACGTATGGCCCCGGGCCCGGCCCCGGCTGTGCGACTAAGATACGAAGATGCGCCGCATGCACATACCGTTTGACAGGCAATGGGTGAAAGCAAGTGTTCTCGACGATATGTTGGAGACGCGCGTTGTAGTGTTTCGCCCATTCGTACTCGAAGTCGAAGGCAACCTTCTTGCACGACAGAAGGAGACCAGCATAAGGTGCGAGATTACCTGGGCCAGGTGCTTTCGGAGCGGCGGCAAGAACGTATTTGTAGACCTTGACTTGGAGCTCGGCGGGAAGAGTCAAGAAGCCATCGGGCTGGGTTGCGGCGGCCATAATGAGTTTGCGAAAGGTACGCGGTATGTGTTGAGGGGTTTGTTGTAGGTTGATAGAACGATCTTCTGTGTTCTGCAGTCAATAGAGCACGGAATATATATGTGAAGTGGTAGCCATAGGCAGCCGTGTATGCACCCGCATATTCACTACGTGCATAACGCAATAACGATGCGGCTACTTCCTTATACCCATCTTTCTTTCGGATCTACAGTCTTCTTAACGCAGTAACGATTCCGTCATACATTCTTCATAGAGCTTACAGGCATGAACACCACTCACTGTGGTACTTGTTTAAAGCTTTCCAAGTCAATTGGTGTAGATTATCGTTAGAAAATAGGATTGACGACAGTAGTGACAGTTCTAATGGAAATGAATATACAGCTAAGGAGTTGAAAAAGAGCCCGAGACACGAACGATGAATCGGATAACATATCCATCTCGAACGAGAAGTATTGTAGACCATGGTTGAGTACGGGAACGACCATTTCGACGAACAACCCTGGTAAACCATCGTTATCGACTTACCAACCTGACCAATGTACACACTCAAAGTCCCTCACGGGAAGACTTGAAGCCCGCGCGCGAAACCCGAACGAAGCATCTCAGACAAAAGGACTCGGGCAGCATACCGAGGGTCTACAACCCGGATTGGCATCCGTAGAAAAGAGTGGGGAAAGCTTATGCACGACATGTTATCTATTGCCTCGACTCGCATAGCGTGATCCTAGCTACCCGCAGCACGGGACCAAGCGAACGCAGAATACACCAGTAGGATTGGCTTAATCTTCGCCCATCTAGGAAGCGGAGAAACAGTGAAAGGATAACGGGCTTCCCAAGTTGCGATTTCGTGGTTGAGCCGCTGTTGCACCGCGCTCTCACTGGTCGGCATATGAGCTAGATAGCGGGCCAGCAATTTCACTTCCTAGTTCGCCACCGGGGTTTAGTTTACATTAATATCTCTCTTACCTGAGTTGCGGCAGAGCTTCCAACCTCGCAACCCTTGGGATCATAATCGCGTTATTCATTCTCGAATTCATTCCGCCGACGTAAAATGGCGCCACAGACGTCAATCCCTCTAGCTGCGAACGTACTCGGGACCATTGGAACAGTATTCTGGTGCGTCCAATTACTACCGCAAATATACCGGAACTGGAGAACCAAGAAGACAGATGGACTGCCTGAGTCCATGATGCTGCTATGGTCAATTAGTGGAGTGCCCTTCGGAGTGTACGCCATCGCGCAGCAATTCAACATCCCGCTCATCGTCCAGCCGCAGTGCTTTTGTGTGTTGTGCGGTGTTAGTTGGGCGCAGTGTCTTATTTACAGCCGGTGAGTCCATCAAAATGAAACGACATTGCCTGGCAAGATCGGACGGCTAACCAGGATTAGGAAATGGCGAACCTGGACTGCATCTCTTCTGCTCTTCGCTCTTCTCGTCTTGTTCGCAGGGGTAGAAGTTGGTCTTGTCTATGCTATCCGACAGCCATACGCCGACGGGTTGGAGTGGCCAGTCCTATTGATCGGCATCGTTGCCTTTCTCACTCTCATCTCAGGCTACATACCTATCCCATTTGAGCTACTCAAGAGAAGGGGCCGTGTCGTAGGTATAGACTTCATCTTCTTGGCCATCGATTGGAACGGCGCGTTCTTCTCGCTGATGGCTCTCGTAGCCCAGAACGAGTTTGACGTGCTCTTCGGGACCATGTACGCATTATGGTATGTATCGTGGTAATCATGTTATCAGTGAATAAGACTAACGATGCTTAGCTGTGCCATCGAGATGAGTATGGTCGTCTCACACTGGGTCTGGCTGTTCCGAACTCGTGGGATCCGTAAACGCGCGAAAGGAGCTGGCGTGAAGTTCGATGAGTTCGAGGAAGCAATAACCTGGCAGGCTAAGGGTATTGATGTCGAGAAGAAGATCTTGCGCTTCTTCTCGAAAAAGAGCAGGCTCGAAGAGAGTACGCACACACATGGGAATGGTACGGACACCCCGGTCAACCCGGAGGAGATAACCCCAAAGACAGTCCCGAATGCGGTTGTATAACAGCACGATGGCGATAAGACAAACTTGTCTTTGTCTCTAAGGGGTATTGTTTGGATTTGGTGGATACAGTCCCGTTCTTTCGCGTGTGGACGAAATGCTTTGGTCGCAAACCTAGCTAGGCCGCTGGGTCGGCAAGATGTTCTTTGGTGGCGTCCGCAGTATGAAGATACATGCGCTCTTGGTCACAAGAG